CTGAAATGTACATTTTAGGGGTAAATGAAGTACAAAGGTGTACCTTTTGAAAAGGCATTGTCCAAGTAAAAGCTTTACCTGAAAGAGTAATTATTGTATCTCTGACAGATGCTGAAAAAGGAGAAGAATCAAAACTGGCAACCCAGCAAGATTGAGGATTAAGGGAAAGGGCAAAAGAGAGATAGAGAAAACTTGGGGAAAATCAGAGAGGGTGACAGAATAACAGGGAAAAGTGAGATATTATGGAAATAAGGTGGTGATCAGGAGACATTCCAGAAACCGGCTCCATTGACAGGATTAATGAGCGGCTCTGCCCGCTGAAGTGAACACAGACTCGTATCATAAATCAACAGAGAAGGTTAAACGCCTTTAATGTACTCAGAGAGGCGGCACAGTTCCCTCTGGACTGTCACTCATGCTTTAACTTTCCACACAGTGAATCACTACAGTGTCACACAGATGCAAAGACAAATTCTTCAGCCTTTCGACAAAATTCCATATATACTATATGAGAAAATATTCTCAAACAATATTTCAGTTTTTCAGCATTTGCTCTGAAACAGCTTAAAGCATTTTCCCCCCAATTAGACAAACCACTCGTTCCTAAGTGAATTCATAAGACAAACGCAGGAAAAATTCAGATTATTCAGACAGACAGAATAGATATAGAACTATAGACAGAACGACAGGCAGACAGAACAACAGATTTAACGTTGGAACAAGCATTTTGATACGATAGATAGACAGAACGACAGAATGATAGATAGATAGAGAACGATAGAACGATAGATAGATAGAACGATAGAACGATAGAACGATAGATAGATAGATAGATAGATAGATAGATAGATAGATAGATAGATAGATAGATAGATAGATAGATAGATAGATAGATAGATAAAGAACCGTGGCTGATCTATTATGAAGGCAACCAGATGTTCTAATTTTGAATCTGCCAAAATTATAGGGGCCATTCACAGGCAGATTTGATAGAGGGACGAAGAGCTTGTAGAGCATGAGGTCATTAAAGTGGAATTCAAAAGCCAACAATGATGAGAAGTGCAAGAGTAAATCATACGCTGAGTGACTTCAAAGACCACAGATTCATTAGTCGGAGAAAATCAGAGGTGATCTACTAGAAATGACTGCAATGCTCAGAGGAATGAATATGTACCTGAATATTAATTTTGTAAATCAATATTTATATGTATGAAGATTTATCTTGTGCTGGTGCTTAACTGAATGGCTCAAAAAAATAAATAAAATGAGCCGCCCACAGACACTTCCAACACTGTACAGTGCAACTTGTTTGCTGTTGATTGATCTGGAGTGTTAATGGACATTGATCACTGCAATAAGCTCTTTGACCTCTCAGACAGCTCAAGATGCATCAATATTTGCATTGGCTGAGTGGCAGAGAGCCGGCGTTTGTAAGCAACACTTCGTCTCAGAGGTCTTTATGCTAAAGCTGCATGCAACATTTTCCTGAGTGCAAAACAATAAGAATTGTATTTCATGGACAAAACCTAATTTTAAGCCAACTGTAGTCAAAGCTTAAAATAAGATTAAAAACACACCCTATTTATACGTTACTGTTCATATTTTGCCCCACTTAGCAATGCATATTATTCCAAATAATAATAATTTTTAAAATGTCCTTCACTAACTTTCTCTGCTTCTGCAACAACTTTCCTTTTTAGCCTTCCACTGAACCACCTGACTCTGTTTTGGTAATGCCCACTTTTCACGATCCAATCAATTACTAATGGTTTAAATCAAGTACTGCATTACTTTTTTAACTTTTTTTTTTTGTTGTTGTCCTTACTGAATATCCAGTTTCATTTGGAAATACATCACATTACAGAATCAAAGCAATCTGCAAATTGCACATTAACTGTAATATCTTGAAAATTCGTCAGAGTATCATTCAATACGTTAGTTAATGCATGCTTTTTTTTTTTACATAAAATGAACATGATAACACTTTACAAGGTGGTCTGATTTATATATAAACCGTTGATGGTAGCCATTGATTTGATGATGGCAAAATGTAAATTTTTGGATGAACTAACCCTTTAACATTAATGTTTTATAAACAATATATATATGTATATCAATATATATAAATTTTGAAACATTCAAAATTAATATTATATATTTAAAATGAAAATTAAGATTAATGTTCATAATTAGATCATAATACCTAATGGACTAACTAATGTCAGCAAATTCAATCTTAACTTTAAGTATTACCAATATGTTTTGCTTGTGATCAAGCCTTCAATACACCTTTGTTTCAACACACTTTCAAAGAAATTCACAAACAAGAGTGTCCAGCCCAGCTAGACCTAAAAGTCTCAGACAGTTCATTTATAATTCAGAGTTCGGAGGAAGTGCATTCTGAGCTTTTAGGTATTGGATGTTGCCTGCTCTTTTTCTGTTACTTCTGCTTTGTCCTCTGCTGACATCAGGACAGGTTTCTCTTCAACATGTCTCTTTCCATTCACAATGTCATCCCTCCTCAGCAGGTACTCAAACCCATGCCAAATATAGAGTTTGGACCCAGGGATTTCGTTTTGGATGCCGCTAGTGAATAAATCACATCTGCTTCATTCTGAGCGCCTGTTTCCCGCATCTTCTCATCATATATGATGACATCTACAGCTGTAGACAGAGTCCTCGTCCCTGCAAAGCCCATTCCTCCAATGCCAGTGCAGCAGGACTGCAGAATCACAGTCTGAAAGGCTCCCACTATATTCAAAAAGTGCCTGAGCTTTAGGAGGATTTGGGATCCCTTTCCACTCCATTCACTAAAGCGGAATGCTAATTAAGAGACCGGAGAGGTCGGAGAGAGTGAATGACCAGAGAGAAAGAGGAGAGAACACAACCATCGGCCGAGTGACAGTTAAAGGAATACTTCACCCAAAAGTGACAACTTTGTCATCGTTTACTCACCCATCGGGCGAATGCCCAAGCTGCTCTATTGCATAAAATGAAAGTGGATGGTAATTTATTCCATCAAGCTCCAAAAAGTAGTAAAATGTAATCCATATGACGACATCTTAAGTCGTATGACAGCTTTGTGTGACTGAAATTGAAGTCATTATTCACTTTTATCATCTTCCCTCGTGAGATACATGTAGGTTACTGGAAATCTGAGACGCAAAAGTCTCTATTTAATCACATTGTGGTTTAGGAGAAAAAAAATATTTTGCATTTTCTGTCCTTGAGGCCCAGAAGAATAATACATTGCTCTCTTTTAACTCAGGAGAGACTTAATATGGCGTTCTCACAAACTTTATCTAAGATGCTTCTCTTACAATTCTTTGAAGACATCAAGATTGACATAAATGGGACATTTGTTGAAATAAAGTGAAAGTATGGAGATATCAAATGAATATGAGAATTGGATGAGACGTATCTAAGTCTAAAATGAATAAATTGGAGTAAATGGACTAACTTTTCAGCAAACTCACTTTGCAATGTGCCGCCTCCTAGAATTTCAAAAGAAATCTCAACAATGTCTCAAACTGTGCTCTGATTTGGCAAGACTCAAACGCTTTGAGATTGGAATATGAATCTCAACAAACTCTTCCACAGCGAAATCTGAGATTGTGGTCCCTAAAAACAAACATCACAAGCGAGAAAATGTCTCAATTGTTTCTCCAATACAAAATTAAAATAAGAGCAAATACAGATTTTTGCACTTGTTTCCTCTGAGATTTTCTCCTGCTTCTCACATTTAAATTAAGCGAAAGTATCGAGACATAAAATGCATGTGAGAAATGGATGAGAAATATTTGAATTTAAATCGTAATTTCAGACTTGACAGATAATCTTTGCAAATCTGATTATAGACCAAGATCAAATTGAGGACCTTTTTCCTCTGGAGAGAAAACACTTTACTCCATTTAATCTCACTCTTCTTATCCATGTCTCAGACTGAGATAATCACTACAACCATTCTGGCATGAATGTTCTTGAGTTTCAACGAGGTGAAAACTTTTGAGCAAACCTTTTCTTCAAACCACAGCATAGAACAACAGGCTAGTCAACTTCCAGAAAATACACCCATCTGCACCAAAACAAAAGCTCTGATCCAAGCTCTGATCGAATTCACTGACTTTTCAATGCAAATGCAGTCTCTGCTGAAATAATGTGAACGTATAGTGATATAAAATGAATATGAGAATTGAATAAGTCTCCTCAGATGAAAATAATCACTGACAGTCTTAAAATAATGACGTTTATGGTCCCTTTTGGAGCTTAGCCATATGAGTCTACTGTTGTTGCATGGAAAAGAGCAGCTTGGATATTCCACCACAACCATTCTGGCATGAGTTTTAATTAGATGAACCAATGATGACAATGTTGAGCACTCCATTTCTTAAAAACACAGCATATGGCGAACAGTCAAGCAACAGGCTAGTGAATGTCCAGAAAATACTTCTATTTGCACCAAAACATATATTGAAAGACACTTAAGCCCACTGCTCCAGCAAATCTAATTCACTGAGTTCTTTAATCAAAGTAGTCCATATCACTTGCGCTCTATAGTGCATGCAGTACATGTCTTCTGAAGCCGTATGACAGATATTTAATATTCACTTTTATCTTCACTTTCTGAGTTAAGTAGATTATGGAAAATTCAAGATGCTAAAGTCTCCATTTAATGCTGTGTTTGTCTAGAAGAAGAAAAAAGTCATTTTTCTATCCTTGAGGCCCATAAGAACCTCAAAGGTTGTTTAACTCAACAGACTTCGAGTTCTCAATGAGGTTGTATTTAAGTATCAACATCTAAGATGATTCTCTACAATAAGCAACAGGCTAGTGAATGCCCAGAAAATACATCCTTCTGCACCCAAACATAAAAAACACTTAAAACGTGACGTGTGCAATGAAACAACCAGCACTGATCTAATTCATTGAATTATCCAAGAAAATGCACTCTCTGCCTCAATCCCACCCATCCCAGTCAAGAGGACTGACCCACGGCTCACCCAGAACATGCAGGACAGGCAGACCCAGGTGCGTGCGCGGCCGGCCAGCGCGGCTGGCAAGCTGAGAGACACGGAGGGCATCACGAGATCAGGCTGATGGCTTCCTCTCCACTGGATCCTGAACAGGACGCATAATTATTCCACACGCTGGTCCCACAATGCTCCACAGATCCATGACACGTTGAGGAGAGCTGCATCAACTGCCGCCGCTGTCCTCCTCGCCACTCTCTTATTCCAGGCGCCCTCCCTCTCTCAGTCTCTCTCTCTCTCTCTTTTTGGGGTCATGTAGCTCGGCTCCACAGGAGAGAGGGGGAGGTGACTGAGAGCCTCTTTATTTCTCCCCACTGCTCTCCTTGTCGGCTTAAGCCCCTCCTCTCTCCATGTCTCTCTTCAGTCTTACTTTCATTCACATCTTCCACCCCCTGCTTTCCTCTCTAACCTCCCCCACGAGCAGATTTTCTCAAAGCGTTCTCATCTCCAACTCCTCTCGCTTCTCCTGCAGTTAAATATACCTACAGGAAAGAAGCATCTGAATTGTTTCTTCTAATTAAGTCACCTGCGTCTCAGATTTTGTCTCCTGAGAAAAGGGCTGGGTAATGTCACATGTGTCTAGAGTTTCAGATAAGAGAAGAGATCTCAACACGATCGCTGCGAGTCAAATGATTGAGATTTGAATATGATCTTTAGTATTGTCAACAAATTCAAACGATCTGACAGTAAAATGTTTGTCTGTGCTACGACGAATGAAAAATCACAAATGAGGATTCTTTAAAATCTCAATGGTTTCTCATAACTGGAGATTAAACATATATATGAACTTTATCTCAACTCATCCAAAGCTAAATTATCTGAGTTATGAATGAGCAATCTCGGAGCGTGAAAAAGTTATTTTGGGGTACGACAGATGAAATGTTGAATGAATAAATGCATTTGAAAGTTTGTTTTGCAGACTTTCAGCAATCTCTTTTTGCAATGCTTCTCCTCTAGAATGTCAGAAGAAATCAATGTCAACAATGTCTCAAACTGTGCTCTGATTTGCAAAGAATTCAAAAGCCTGGATATTTGAATATGAATTTAATTTGAATCTTTCTCTACAACTCTTCCAAATTCAAATGAACCGAGCACGAAAACAGAACTCAAACATTTTTCATCAGACTATCCACATTCATTTGACAAGTCTAATTTTTTACTGGATGCCAAAAATGTGCTGAAGGTGAAAAAAAAAAAAAAAACATATGTAAATGAAGTTGATACTTAATTGACAACTCCATTAAGTCTCCGGAGTCATAAAGGAGGAACCAGTTGTTCCACACATTGTTCCTCTAGGCACCTAGGAAACTCACAAATAACTGCTTTAATATTAATATTTTCTCTAAAACAAGATTGAGATTAGGTCTCTCATATCTCAGATTTGTCTCACTGGTATTGTCAAATGTGACTAGAATTTCAGAGTTCTCAACAATGTCTCAAACTTTGCTGTAATTTGTAAAGATACAAAAGTCTGAGATTTGACTGAATAAACTTGAATATTTTTCATCATATTCTTTCAAAGCCGTATTATCTAATCGCTGTCTGAGCAATAAAATGCTCTTGTGGCCATCTGAGAAAGAAACATAAGTGGTATCTCTTTAATGCCACGTTTTTTTCTATATGGAAAAAAAAATGATACGTGGAATTTAACTCTTGTTTTGCAGATGTTTTCTACAGAGTTTCAGAAAGATCTCAACAATGTCTCAAACTGAATTTATTTATCACCCTAAACCCTAGTACATCCCTACAACTCTTTTTAGTTTATTCTATTCCTATTCCATCTATACCACACCTGTACATACAATTTATTATTTTTTGTGGTTTATATTTATGCATGTGTATTTTATTCACATCTCATTTTTATTATCTGTGTGTTGTTGTTGTCTCCGTGTACTGGAAGCTTGTGACACTATAACAAATTCCTTGTATGTGCAAACATACTTGGCAATAAAGCTCTTTCTGAATTGACAAGATAATGTTGAGATCAGTTTCTTTTGATTGCAGACTTCAACTCAAACATTTAATCAGATTCTTCCCAGACTAACCACATTACACAAAACTCTTAATGCATGTCAACAATGGTCTCATTTGTGTTTCTTAAATACTTAAACATCATTGCAAACTCCACTCAGTCTCTTTAGATATAGAAAAGCAACCTCTGAGCAACTACACTGTTCCAAATACATCTAAGAAAGACACTGCTTTAATCAAGATTAAATGGAAAGCAAATGCTTCTTAGATTTGCAGCAATTTCACACGTCTTCTCTGAGCCCAACAATGTCTCAAGCTATGATCTGAGATATACTCTATACATTAAGGTTATAGCTGTACACTTATACTGCATATCAACTACAGTCTCATTTGTGTTTTTAGGTCTCCTGTGAATTTTAAAAGAAACAGAATCGATTCTTAAGTGACAACTGATCGAGAACTCCACAAGCCTGGAAAGAGAGCAACCTCAGAGCAATGAAATTTTCCTCTGGGTCTGCAAATCTCCTTTAATGCCACGGCTACATGTCTCTGCCCCAGATATCAGCCAGGCTGCGAGCTACTGCCTTTCTGGGGCTGTGACGCAGCCATCAAAGACACAGCAACTCAAACAGCAAACAGAGCAGAGCTGAGAGCTTCATTACAGAGGCACATCAAACCTTCACCGGCCTGCCGGAGGGGAAGGTGGTCTCACTGTGGGTGTCTCTCTGTCTCTGGATAATATCTGTAATCCCTTGGCATTTCCTCTTCATCACACTGATGAGATGAAACCTCTCCTGGGGTCAGTGCTGTTTGCTTTCACAGACATTCACGTTGTCCATCATGGCACACGGTGGACACATTTGTAATTGGGGAATGCATTAGCCGCAGACGAGCTAATTCAGGCAGTCAGGCTGAACGAAAACACCTGTAAACAAGTTAAATGTCTAGGGTGGTAAATCTCGACTGCAGAAACTCTCATGAGGAAGTCACCAAAGGTACAGTCGACTCTCTACAATCTCTATCATCTACAAGCAACTTAAACAATGTCACATTTACAGAGTGATGAGGGCTTTTGGGTAAGATCAAAATAACTGGATTTGCCAAAAAGATAATCAAAGAGCTTTGCTCTGGCACTCAGATGCAAGTAGAATAGATATCCACTAGCAGAACTAGGTGTGCTTGAATACGCTTTTTTTTTAAAAGATTAGATTAAAGGTAAAACTTAAGGATAATAATAATTAATAATAATAATAAATGTTCAAAATGTAGCTATGTAGGCAAGGTGTGCAAAGGCTGACGAAACAAACTTTTTGGAGAATGGAAGATTCATGCACAATTACCTGAGAGATGTGCAGGCCAAATGATAAAACAGAAACAAGTGTGGGATTAGTTTGATTAACTTTGTCACAATGAAAACCATCCGGTTCCCAAAAGCACCTCGGAGCCTGAGGCTGTAAAAGCCTCCATTTTTATTCTTCAAGCAGATCAATCCCTTTATGAGATCCGCTCTGGTCAATAGACCAGCTAAATATACACGCGCAGAATGCCCGCGATGCGGCTCTATTTCGAGAACATGAATCAGATGAGAAGCAATACAATATAGGGAATAATATCCGGCCTCAGATGCAGCGCATTAGAGGAGATTGGGGTCAAAACGGGCAGAAAAGGGATGATTTGAAGAGCTGAGCTTTTCTTTACAGATGGAAGGAACTTCAAGAACACAGATAAAGCTAATGAAAGGGCAGAGTCATTTATCTAGGCTGATGATATAATGAATATTCACAATGAATTTGCAATAATTTGCTAACAATATACTAGCGGTCAAATGTTTGGAATAATTACTTTATGTTTTTAAAAGAAGTCTCTCATGCTCACCAAGGCTGCATTTTTTTATTACTAAATATATTTTAAAAAACAAAAAACAGTAATATAGTGACATATTATAACTATTTAAAATAGCTTTTTTCTATGTAAATATATTTAAAAATTTAATTTATTCCTGTGATTCAAAGCTGCATTTTCAGCATCATTATTTCAGTCTTCAGTGTAACGTGATCCTTCAGAAAACATTATAAAATTGTCTCTGACTAAAATTTTTGGATTTTGTTTTCCCTTAATAATAAAAACCTTCATTTAAAAGCTGCATGTTGTGTTCACTTGTGTTGTCTTTGACTAATATTTAAATTTGTTTGATGATCTCAAACATTAAAGTGTGACAAACATGCAAAAAAATAAGAAATCAGGAAGGGGGCCAACACTTTTTCACACCACTGTATATTAAAAGTCAAATGGTGAGTTTGATAAATGACCAATTAATCAATTAAAAAAATTATGATACAACAATATGCATGAAAAACTGTTAAAATCATGCTGTTTTACGGTTTTAAAAAATTGCACATATATTGTTGTGTTCACTTGAGTTATCTTTGACTAATATTTACATTTGTTTGATGATCTGAAACATTAAAGTGTGACAAATATGCAAAAAAAATAAGAAATCAGGAAGGGGGCCAACACTTTTTCACACCACTGTACATACATACATGCATGCATATATATGGCTGCATCTGGTGCCTGGATAAAATTAGCTTGTTTATTTTCGAGCCAGGACAAAATAAGTACAGTCTATTACCAGAATAAACTCAAAGAGCGTAAAGTATGAAACCCACCGCCCTCCAAGACCCCAATACCCTCACTACAGAAAGCAAACAACATCCTCTCTGTCTGAGAGCAGGAAAACAATGAAAATGGCAACCTGTCTTTACTGTAATAGCAAACACTGCAATGGAAATATGAGAACACAACTGAGTAACTCGAGCTTCTCATAACAGTCCGCAGGTATCTGCACAGATACAGTATCTCCAGATGAACAGCTTAAAGGTTGTATGACCAGACAAAGTCCTAGTTTACAAGGCATATTTGCAGTTTCACAAGGTAAAATATAAATAGTGCTGTCAAACGATTAATCGCGATTAATCGCATCCAAAATATAAGTTTTTGTTTACATAATATATGTATGCATGCTGTTTATATTTATTGTGTATAAACAAATACACACACGCATGTATATATTTCAGAAAAATATGTTGTTTATACATTAAATATATTTATTTATAATATACATTTTATTAATATAAACAAACATGTAAATACATGTAAATATTTTCAAAATATATACTGTATGAGTGTGCACTAATATATACAGTACATAA